TTAATAACTCCTACATGGACTTACTATATCCCATAGCATAGAATATATTCAAATCAGCATATTATATGACCCTTTACAGCTTAAAGAAATAACAGCTAAAGAAATAGAGAATATCAGTGAAGATTTACTTCAGGATCATGAAGTATCTGTTTCTTAGTTGTTTCTGTTGACTTAAATACATTAGAGAAGTCCAAGTTATTGTTTCGGAATGATCATAGTGATAACAGCTGGTGCCTGGGTGATAGGGAACAATTTGTCATTCTCAAGTAAGACGTGAATTTTGCTGCTGTTGCTTGTGCTGTTGGAATCTTTGTAGCCAAATTTAGCATCATTTACCTCGACTGCCCCACAGCTTTTCTGAGCCAGCCTGCCAGTGAGGAAAAGGAAATGCTTTCACTTTAGAGTCTTTCGAAGTCTGGACAAAAGCTCACTTTCTGTTCTTCAGGTTTCCTATATATGGCTTTAGCCTCGAGATGAGGACCTGCTCACTATGCAACCTCTCCCACCCCCCATTTCCTGCCTGGGTTCATTAAATGCTGATTTGAAGTTGGCACAAGCTCTTCTGATACAAAAGTAGTACTGTGTTCCAGGAACCATCAGAAAGTAGTGTGTTATTATCTTTTACATTCCCTTCATATATATGTTCTCTCCCCATGTGTAGCAAGGATTTTTATCCCTTCTTCTTAAATATCTCTGTGTGTTTAATAAAGAAACAGTGAAGTAAAGCCCTGTCAAAAATAGCCTCGGCTCATTTGGGAGCAATCTGGCCCCAGGCTATATTCTTTAATGCTAGTATCTGCAAATTGCTAATATTAAGCAAAGTGGAGTATAGGACATAATGGCTTCACCAAATCATTTTCCTATCTCTCATGCTTGTGTTTAAGTGTTGTGTTATGCAGGAGAGAATAGTTTGCAGGAGAGAATAGTTTTATTTCACTTGAGCAATGATGGTTGTTGTGATGAAATTAATGTGTACCTATATAGAAACCTGTGTATTTTCTGATTTTAGCAGTACAGTTACTTTTTACCTGCTATGTAAAGCCACCATAAAAGATGAGAAAAATAACTGAGATGCTGCCTTTCTTCTTTACCTAGGACCAAAGTTCTCCATTTTGTAGAGATAAGTACAAATCATGCCAAGCACTTAGCTAACCAATCCTTGGGTTGCCTGTGATATCATCTGTTGTTTAAACTGATACTTTCTATATCTTTCATACCTGTTTCCCACTTATGGTCATTTAAAGAGTAGTACCAGTTAGTTATTACCAGCACTAAAAAGAAAATAGGCCAGGTAACAGCAATGAGACTGAACAAGCTGTATTACTGCAACATCTCATTATTCCAAATTATGCTGGAGTTACATAAACAAAGTCATTTTCAGGTCAGTCTTTCCTGAAATCCACTCAAGTGAATCATTCAAATGTGTACCAACAGATTCCCATCGAGATCAATGACACAGACTGTGATGGCCTTCAGAGAAAATAGCTGTGTCCTTTTGTTTTCTTTGCAACAAAACACTCTCAAATAATGTATTTTCCCTTTCTCCAAGTGGAAACTGTTTATTTCTTGTTCCAAAATGCTAAATGTAGTAGAAGTGCAAAGATTTATAAAGCAAAAAGACTAAGCTAATACTAACCAGTATCAGATGTATACTGGTTCTTACCAGGATTTTAGATAAATAGCCCAACGTACCAGCCTGCCACCATGAAAACATGCAGTCGTGTTTTCCTCATTCGCCACACTCCTGGCCACATGCGCTGGTTTTCCTCTTGTTTCTGGCATTCTGTCTCTTTGGTCAGATGACTCAGCCCACTATCATTGCAGGCATCTGACCCAGCAAACCCCACCTCATTCAGCACCTCCAGCACTTTAGAAAGGCCCTATTTCCTCAGGAAGGTGAGAATGCAGGATGTACCACGTATGAGGTAGAATTAATGTAGTTTGGAGTTGTGGACCCTGGTGCACAGAAAGTTAGACACGTGCATTAATTATTTTGCTGGTTGAATCACTGCATAATGTAATGGGCTGCATGAAGGTCTTTTCAATGATTTTGTGGTATTAGAGGAGCAAAAATGGTTAATTCCTATGGGCTTGTATCTGCATGAGGAAGCAGCAAGCTGCTGAGTAAAGCTTTAGCCTCATGGGTTACTTGTCACTGACTCCCCATGTGACACTTCTTTTCCACATGAAGAGTGCCTCTGGGTGATGAACACAGACAATCTTGGCAGTGGATTAATTAAGCTGAGTAAAGGTGCTAATAATGTGCAGGAGAAATACTTACAGAGGTGGCTAATGCAAAACACTTACTTTAAGTATTATCCCTCTGTAGACCACTTCTAAGAACCTCTAGTTAAAGTATTGAACCAAATGCTCATTTGAAACATAAGGCAGATTAATTACAATAATTCATCACCATTTGCCACTAAGGCTTTCCAAGAGCCTTGCAATTACTAGGGGAACAATTTCATTTTAAAAAAAAAAAAGCTTGAAAAATTTATTTTCACTGTTTGCTCATTTGTTTGCATTTTAGAGTTGAAAGGATTAAAATAATTTCTAATCTTGTGTATGTGCTTTAGGGTAGTCTGTGTGTATATATATATATATTTATAACTTTAATCCACAGCTTTGTTCCTGAAGCTTAAAATACTTATTTTTGCATTTTTATTATCAGAAGAAAGTTGACAATTACAGATATGTATTACTGCCTCCATGTAGGAGTGCACTGAAGCACGTAGGATTGCTGTTTTGATCCATACCTGTTGCAGTCAATAATAATTCTGCTTCAACTTCACCGGGGCAGGATGGTACATTGACCTCTACAGTCACACACCAAATAAATGCCTCAGCCACAGATGAGTATCAAGAAACTAGTTGCCAGTTCTGCCTTTTGTTCATTGGAGCAGACATCCTCAAATTGGTTAAATGTATGTATTTAGTGCACTGAAACCTGAACTCTTATTGCCAGCCGTCAAATCCTACCTGGTAGCATGCTGGGAGCTGGCAGTGTGTTGTGGTAGACATTCAAGAAAGCCGGTATTTGAAACAAACACTTTTCAAACCTTGGCTTTGTTTTTTATTTGGAGGTTTATTTTACAATTTAAAAACCACTCTTCTCCACATCTTTTCATTTTAAAATGGATTATTTCCATTTAAAAATTATCTTAATCATTCATGCGAAGTCTGTCTTCTCAGATGGCTCATATATTGAGACACTGACATCAAAGTCTGCTTTCTCTGCTTATATGATTGATTCAGATGCAGAATATGATGGGAATGTGGTAAAAATAGAAAGGCAGTCGCTGTGACTGAGCATGAAACACTCATATAGAAGTGTAACATTTCTCCAGTGATTGTTGCAGGGGATTTGTATCACTTTAGTCTGTCACAGGTATGGAAATATTCCCCTAAATTTCAAGAGTATGATATAGTAGAGATTGAAATAACCATAAGTGCAAAAGGAGCAAGCACCTTTTCTTCCACATTGTACCTGGGTGAGATCTACAGTAAAAACTTTTAGTGCAATATTAGCCCATTGTTACATTCTGTATTTTCAGTTTCGTAGTAATTGGTATCTTTGACTGCAAACGAGTCATCTGTACTCCATTGCTAGAACCATTGGTCTTAACAATGATAGTAAGCTATAAAAAGTAAATTTCTTGTTAATATTTTTATTATTAAAATTTTCCAGTGTTATGCTAGCCTGTGTGTCATGGTCTGAAATGTACTCAAGGCTCAGGCCACTTAGAAGGGAGCCCTTGCCAAAAGCGGTGTCGTATGTGACAAAGGCCGTGCGCGATTGCAGGCACTGCAGGTCACAGCAGCGCTTCAGCAGAGTTGCAGCCCCTTTGCTCTTGCACGAGCATTTCTAACATCCCTATCCCTCGGGGAACAAGTGGGATAGCAGGAAACAGATGTGTGATATTATATGCTGGGCAGGGACTGGAATTAGAAGATTGAGTTCCTGCCCCAAAGTGACAAATGGTATAATGCTGAATTGAATGAAGTTTTCATTTATTTTGTTTTTCTGCTAACTATGGCTCCTTCTTTGAGACTGGGCTTATGTCTATGCATAGGAAAGAGAACTGATCCCAGTTTCCAGCTTTTTCTATTTTGAGATATTGCTTAGCCAAGCCTCAGTTCCAGAAAAGGAAATATAAACATATTCTATTCCACAATTATCTTTCACTAGCTCTTAGCAGTCGGTTTGATAGAAGGTTTACTTACAAGAACAGATAAGTACATGAAACATTTTATCACGCTAAAAATATCACAGAATAAAAAGCACAGCAGAGCTTCATCTCCGGTCTTCATGTGAAAGGACTGTGTCCATTTAGGAAACAAAGGTGGAACTTGCCCAAGGTGCATTAAATATAATCCTAGTTTTTCTGGGAATCAATCCTACTTCTTAATTTTCAGAGCATATATTTTTCTGTGTAAATGTTCTTAGGACACTGTCATAAATCTAGTTGTTTGGTGTGTTACTCAGAAAACATTGAAGTTCTGGGCCTAAAATTGCTGACCAAGAAATGTTCTGCCAGCAAGGCTTGTAATTTATATTTCTAAGGGAAATCAAAAGGTACCACTGGAGGCTTCTCTCTATTTCTGTCATCAGATCATAATCCAATTACAAGGTTCCAAGTTCCAAGCTGTTTTTCCATCCAAGTTTTCACCTACAAGAAAGATAAAAATTGTATAGAATAAAAGTTGTATTCATCTCTACTTAATATTTATAATATTAGCAAAAATTAATGGGTAGCTTAAGAGTTGAAATGGGATGAGAAAAATACTGGGATCTGAAGCTTTTCAGCTCTCTTCCTCCCTTTCCTATCCTCCAATCGAAAACGGAGTTGTATGAGGAGCAGTAGGATGGCTGGGGAGGTTGGGCAGTACCATCTCTGCCTGCAGGTCCTCCTTGGATCAGATGAGGTCTGACAGGGAATGTTGGTGGTGTCTGACACAAAGCAGTAATTCGGGGTTTATTTTCTTCTCTTCCTCTCTAGCTTCAGAGCCCAATTTGAAGGTACGTTCAAGGTTAAAACAGAAGGTGACGGAAAGGAGAAGCAGTCCTTTACTCAGGAGGAAGGATGGAAACGTTGTCACTTCATTCAAGAAGCGACTCTTTGAGGTGACAGGTAATTAAGAATGGAGGAATTCTGTATCAGCTGCAGCTGCTCACAAAATAATGGTGGTATTTTGGAACTGAAACTGTTTGCTAATCAAAAGGTTGCATCTTTTTTTTCTGCTGCTGCAAAGAAAACCATATTAAGTAAATTGTTGTGTGTAAATAGCTTGTAATCCACAGCTTTCTTACCACCAAAGAGTCATTGCCAATTTAAAAGCTATACTTTGAAACCAGCTTGGAAACCAGTACTTTACAACAGCAGGTACAAGAACAAATAAATGGTAGACTGTTGGTGGCAAGGGATATCAAAGGAGAAAACAAGAACAGTCTCATCCCTTGATTTGTGTCTTCTGTTCATTTTGGGTCTTGCATCTCCCACTTCACATCTTACATAGAAAATGCAGGTGCTAATAGCAGGTGCATAAACACCAAACTGATATTACTTAGCTTAATGAAGGACATTCTGGAATCTTGTGTTTGGCCCTATGCCTTTGATTTCTCTTATTTGAAAATCTCAAGAGCAGTTGTTTTTGATGTAAGTGCTTACTAAGCTGTATTTTGACAAGAAAGAGTTGAAACATTGAAACATGCAGTGGTATATTGTTGGTCATAGCAGATAGTAAGTATTCTCAGAAATGTAAAGGAAACTTTTAGCATTTAAAAATAAAGAATTATACATATGAGAAGGGGGATTAAAAGGGACAAGAGAGCAAAGTAAAACTTTGTCACTGAGTAGTATGTTTTCCATATTTTTCCTGCCCTTGAACTTAAAAAGTGACAAGATGGATGAACCATGGATGCTAAGGCTTTCTTTCACATGTTTGATATTGCAGAGCAGTAAATTTTCTCACAGAGATTATTTTGCAGGAATGTGTCTGAATTCCCAAACAGCCTGAAGTCCTCTCATTTTTAGTCCTTAGGAATAGTATGCTGGCAAGGCCTTATATCTTGATTTGAAAGAGCATTTACAGCATTTGGCCTCATTCTGACATTTCTTGCCTTGACTTTGCATTGACGTTTGGTGCCTTCATGGCTTGTTCAAGTAATGTTACAGTCAGACCATATGTTTATGCAACCAACTGTTACTAGTCTGTCAGACATGTATCTGAATTCATTTGGTTTCTCAGAATTATGTCACACCAAGATGGAAGTATAACACAATATGAACAAATTCACGTCATTGTCCCTGTATATGCAATTCTCGTGACAACTTTTCACATTATGTTATCTGTAGAACTGGGACATGAATGTGAATATAAGTACGAAAGTAACTAAATAAGATAATTACCCTATAAATTATTTCCAGATTAGAATTCTTTACAGCTAATTTGTTATTTCCATTTGCTGGAGCTCATATGAGGTTCTTGATCTCCCATTCCTTAGTTTTAGGTGATTTCTTTACATTTTGTGCACTCACAAGTAAGGTATAAAATAAAACATTTACCCTAGGAGTTGTGTTCTGCAACCATTGAAAGCAGAAACCTGAAAATAAATGTGTTCACTTTCTAACTCTGACAATAATTCAAAGCCTTACAGATTGCCATTATAATTATTAATATCAGCTATATGACATTTTGCACCTTTGATAATCAGAACTTACCTGACCAAACATCTCTGGCTGAGGCCTTTTTCTCCTTTTTGAAAAAAATTATTTTAACTGAAAACAGCCCTGTATTTAAGTGCCTATTTATACAAAAAGTGCTATTGTACTTTTTTTTAAAAAGTAAGAAAAAGTAAGTTTGTGTTTCTGTGCTTCTATGAAAACTAGTGAGAATACGATGCAAGAACTTTACCTTACCAGTTAGTATAGGAGGGTACAGATTGACTTGAGTAAATCGAAGTTTGCTCTAGTAGGAAAGAGCAGTGGGTCCAAGAAACAGCTAGGAAATCTCTCGGTAATTTCAGTCGAATTGAGGATATATTTTTGCACGTGAACTGAGGTGGAAAGAGCAAAGAAGCAATAAAGGGACTATGGAATATTTACTTCCACATTTAGATATTAATTAACTTCTTGAGTACTTTAATTTGAAAGCTATCCCATGAAATAAGCTTACCTCTACTAATGCTATGCTCTTCCATCTTTAGCCTGTTAACTGTTTCCATTAGATAAATTTAACTTACATCAGTGTAGGAGTAAAATAACTCAATACAGCAGCATGCAACGAGATAATCGTCTTCCCCTTTATCTTAGGCAGAACTCGGGAAATTTTAGATCAAGATAACATAAAGCCTTTCAAATGCTATTTAGGGAAGGACTGTTTATCAGGGAGTGTGTTGACAGGACAAGGGGTAATGTTTTAAACTGAAAGAGGGTAGATTTAGACTAGATATTAGAAAGAAGTTGTTTACTTTGAGGCTGGTGACACACTGGAACAAGTTGATAAGACAACTTGTGGATGCCCCCTCCCTGAAAGTGTTCAAGGCCAGTTTGGACAGGGCTTTGGACAACCTGGTCTGGTGGGAGGTGTCCCTGCCCATGGCAGGGGAGTTGGACTTGATAATCTTTAAGGTGCCTTCCAACCCATAAAGAATACACAATCGAGATTACGTGTTCCTTTCTAGTGTGAAATTTATGTATGCCTAATCTGTTTTTCAGAATCCTCGGTCAGTAGCAGCTCCCCTGGATCAGGTCCTAGTTCCCCAAGCAATGGTCCAACCAGCAGTATAACAGAAAATGAAACCTCAGTTTTGCCATCTAACATTCAAGCTGAGGTAAGACTCTCTCTTTATTGGGTAGATAATTGCTCAGATTTCTAGACTGGAGAGATTTGAAACTTTTTGATACTCACAAGAAGAGTAATTGCAAAAGATATAATTATCAGGGGTACCAGGATAATTGGCAGGCTGACATCAGAGTATGTCATATGAGATGCATGTTCAGGAAGCCAGCATATATAAGGTCCATGTTCAGGAGACTCTTTGATAGCAAAATTCCAAACAAAATCACCAGTGATGCTACTGGAAGAGTGGAAGGAAGTTACGGAAGGAACTTCGAAGCATCTCTGTTGCAGAACATTACCTTCTGGGATAACCTGAAGAAATGCACCATGCTGAATGCTGATGAAGCACTTTCATGTGCAAAAGAGTGATTTAGGCATTGGTGACCCTAACACTTACGAGTTAAGGTGGTCCCAGATTTAGATGGCTGCTGAAGTAGATTTTTTTAATTACAGTATCAGAATTAGATGACTAAGTCCTTTTGTACATCTGCCTTTTATTTTACTGTACCTCAGTTTCCTTGTCGGGGCAGTACTTACCAACATAACTGACATGCCAGGACTCTTGGATACTTGTTTTATAAAGCAAGATTGTACATGGAAGGAATCTTAACTACTCCTTATTCTATTTCACACATACATGCCTATAACAACAGGAATACAGATGGTAAATCAGTTGTGATAAACCTCATTTAGCATAGATGACATGCCTAAGTCATACTTTCCATGGCAATATTGTAAAGGGACAATAAATGAAATGAATGAAACTAGGAGAGAATCAAATTCCACAATTTTCTGTATCCTGTGCCTGTACTTACAGCAATTCCTGCTTTGGTGGCAAAGTTTTCTATTAATTGTTTGTCGATACTATTTATCTTAGAAAAATTGCATACAAAAATGTAATTTAACAGAGTTCTAGCTAATGGAGCTATTTCTCCAGGTCAGTGGCAGGACATTCACCTCAAAAAAACCTGGAATGGGCATTTCAACCTCTAGCAGTGACTTTTCCCCATAATGAATTAATTGTGTGTGTGAACTATGATCCAGGGGGCAGGTGGGTGACCTCTGCACACTGATTAGTAGCCTCTCTCTGGCCCGTAACCAAAAAGAAAAAAAAATTGCATTGATGGCTAACATGTGGTCTTGCCTCATAGTCCCCCGTATGTGATTGCAAAGAAATTTAAATGATGCAGAGTAAGATCCATCATTTGGATTAGATCAGATCCCAGTTCAGTGGAATTAAATGGTATATTTTAATCATCGTAATGTTTTAGATAGAAGTTTGTAATGTGTGGGGGTTAGTGCTGTATTAAGTGGGAAGTCTTGTCCAATTGGATCTTTTATCGACTTGAGGATACTACAAAGAGAATAGTGTCTCAGACTGATACACAGTGCTTGTTACCTTGCATGTGATAGTTTCTGGACATTTACCCACAGTGTTGAACCAACACCAGACATGGATGCAATCTGGTCAGGCTGGCAGTCACTTCTTGGGGAGATTTGGAAAGGTTTTAGCAACAACCAGCAGAGTTATATTCTGTTTATTAATAAAACACTGCATTGAATATCATTTGATGTTACTGTGCCAAACTTCAGAAGTTATAGCCCCACCATACAATCACAGATGTTCAAATGAGCCTAAGAAGTTCCTTTAGAAGTTGGGCTCTGCGTGCTGGAGTTGGTCACTTAGCTCACTGGAAGTGTGCTAAGGAGCTGAAACTAGTGACTTCCATTTCTGGATCCAGTCAGGGATTTCTTTACCTCTCTGGTTTCTTGACTTTAATATTGTGGTCCTGTGGGCTCAACCATTTTTCTATAAATCTCAACTTCAGTGCATTTTGATTTCGGTGGGATTTTCTTTGGTAGTTTAACAGCAGCCAAACTGCTATGTATCTCTGCTCTAGTTTAGCATTAGCTGCCAGCTCTCAAAGGCTATATATCTAATCAATATTTCATCATACACAAAGTGCAGAAGTTTCTAATAATAGGATAAGTGTTCCAAAATCACCAAAAATATCACTTGTTTTGCTGTAATCCCATATGACTCACATTGCTGTTCTTTCATAATCGTTGTGACATTTGCAGCAAGTGGTGTGCTCGTATCTGAGTGGGTGGATAGCTGCGGTTTTCATGGCAGCAAATAAAACACTTTTTGCTGGGGGAAAACAGGTTGCTATGACAGAGAGACATTTACCAGTAAAACCTGAGTCAATACTGTAAATGATTACACTCTGGTGCATAGCCAGAATTAGAACATTATCAGTAATGAAACAGCTTTTTAGAGTATTTTTGACATACCCATTTGAATAGAGAGACTTCTAAGTGGTTTACTCTCTGGAGCAGACAGTCTGGTGGGTAGACATTTACATTTTCTTGAATGAACAAAGGTGCACTACAAATGCTACATTTTTGGAGACAGTGTTTTACTATCACAGTTCCCTTAATGGTACTTTCAATGCCATTTGTTAAAACACTCGTCTCATTATGTGGAACTTGAAAGTTAAACTCAAGATTTTAATTGCACCTTATAAATAAAATGCTGTTTTTATTAGGCCCAGTTGTCTCCAGTATCATCAAGGTTCACCGCAGTAGCTATTTGTCTCTTGTAGCATGCCATACACTTACAGGTCACCTGCTGTGCTGGGGCTAAATCTTACTTATATGAGAAATGCAAGCAGGATTGAGCCCCTGCACAGCATGTCCCTTGAGTTCAGAGGGACAACCTGTCTTACTCGTGTGGAATGATTAATATTAGGCATTCACAGCCTGGTCAAAAGCCGTTGAATGCAACAGAAAGTTTCCAATTTATATAAGCAAGCTTCAGATTCTTTTCTTTCTCTTTCATTTGTGCTTTGCAGAGCAGCATTTCCTAGAATATTGCCAGATTATACAGGAGACATAAATGACATGCCTGGCAGATAAATATGGACTTGATTTGTACAACCCCACAGCACTATGTTTCTAATACTGAGGTTCCTTGAGGTGCTCTTTGCAAGTGGCTAGTGACAAAATGTGTAGGTTTCTGACCAGCTGGTGAGGTTTGCTTCAAGTGTATGTGAAGAGAGTCTCATTAATTAGCAAAAAACCCACCCCAAAAGCCTTAGGAAATAAGAATGTAATTGTGAATATTAAAAGCTTTGACAACTTTACTGTAGCTCCACAATTTAGAAATATTAAATCCAGACCTTTTCCTCTTCCCCTCTTAACATGTAAACGTGCATCTAAAATAGCTCACATGAAATAGGTGTTTCTGCTTCTCAGCAGGTCCTAGTACCAAAACAGAAGTACAATAACTGATCATGGTTACTTGATGATCATCAAGCACTGTTACATTTACCTATTGTACTCTATTCTAAGGAAGAGGGTAACTCTGTTGACAGGATATTTTAAGCATCAGGAAGCAGGATTCATGGACCCAGTGAGTAAGTATATAGAGGAGCAATTAGGGCAGTTGCTCTCTGGGATAATTTAAATGCCAGTCCAAACCACCAAGTCTGCATGTAGGAGAAGGACCATGGCTTAGTCCTTGTGCTGCCAGATGACACTGTTGGCAACTCCAGTTTTTGTCACCATTTGAAGGTATTGTCAACTGTGTAAAAAGAGAAGCTGCGGCTGGATCATGCAGTTGTGCCTCAGCATATGCAGGACCCTAATCTATGCAGGTAGGCTACTAAACTTATTCTGGGAGATGAGGTTTAACTGACGCTTAGGCAAATTTTACCTGAAAATATTTTTAAAAATCAGTTACCCATTAGCAGTATTAAAAATTGGATGGAAACAGTCTTTCTAATAAATTCCTTATTCAACATGGAACTCCCATGGTACATAACATGATTGATTCTGCCTCATGAAGCAATTGTGCTTGACCTTAATGTGGGATTGTACTTTACTGCTATACACCTTGTCACTGTTACATTTGTTAATTCAAATCTTAGAAGGTGATAGTGGCATTCTGAAAACTGAAAAGGAAACATGCAGTTTTTTAAGTGGGTCTGTACAGATGCTGCAGTTGCTATAAATTTGATTACATTCTGGTAAGCACATTAGAGCAGTGTCCCTTTTCAGTTAAGTCTTTGTGCTGTCCCTCAATAGTATCTCCATAGTCTTGACATGCCTGGTTTTATTCATGGTCAAAGGTGGGTGTTATCAAGGCAAGACACTGTTAGCCAGGAATTATTGCAATATACAAGTGAAGCTTCTTTGTTTTGTATGCTATCTGTTGTCATTCCCTAGGTACCAAAAGAAAATTACAGAGATAGACTTCTACTGTTATTGTCTCAGTGATAGGTCGTATCTCCAAACAAACTGTATGAGGAAGGTTATGTTTTGGAATAACATCCTGTGTTTTTGTGCTTAACCACTTTTCATTGATGGTCTGAAGTTGCATTGTATTAGCACAAAGTATTTTACAGAGTTAATTGATATTCCAGGTTTGTCCAGGGGAAAATCTACAGCTCCCCACAACATGCTTGACAAGTTATTATATTTACTTTAGTCAAAGCCCGAGTGTGCAGTATCCCTCTTGGAGGTGGTCTATTATTGGAGTCCCATATGCTTTTTGTTTGGGAAGAAAGCAGTCACTGTGTCATACTGTTACACAGGGTATTCTTTTTCAAGGATGTTGTTCCCTTGGGGACCATATCATGCCATAGTTCCTAAGTCTAATAAGACCTTTGTAGCTCTTATTGTGTTAAAGTTCTGGGAGGGAAGCAAGAGTTAAACAGAAAATGTAATTCAAGCAACTATACTAGACCACATGTTGAAAAACATGACTGTTAAAGCAGAAAGGCAAAGGCTTCAAAAAGATTCCTGTTGTGGTAATGTAACTTTTTGTGTTTCTTCCCAATGAATCTAGGATGGAAAGGCAGAGGGTGATCTTTGTAGAATGTCTGGTTTTACTTGACAGTAATTAAAAATAGATCAGCAATTCCATGTCCTTGAAAGTCATATCACAGGGCTTGAAAAGAAATGTTAAAGATTTAAGACTTGAAGGGAATTAGGAAGGCTGTGAGGGGTATCCCACCATCAGAAAGTGATATATGTATATATATATATATAAAGTACTTTTATTTTAAGTGGCATATATGGCAATCTGCCTCATCTTCTACCCAAAATTCCCATGTCAATAGAGATAACAATGTGTCTGAAACATCCCCATATCACAGTCTGGGTAAGAAAATAGATGGACTAGGTAGAAACCGCATTTCATACCTTACAATAAAAATTATAATAACTGTGTTAAAGTAACGGTGTAATACATGCACATTCATGACTTCTTTGATCTGGCTAAATATGCCTCTTAATTCATTGGCTAAATTCTCACTGAGTTTCTAGTAGTGAATGTGCAGTTGATGAGAAGAACCTAATGTTGAGCCTATGAGAAGTTGATGAGAAGAGATGGTGTAGGATTCCTCAAGATTTTGGTTTTGCATGGAAATTTGATTTACTAACCAAGGAATAATCCCAGACGTATATCAGGTTTTTTCTTAAGAAGAGAAATATCAACAGCTTTTTCACAGTACTTTTCTTTATCTGGAACCCCATTGGATTGCACACTGATGCACAATACATAACTGTCAATGCAGCAGGATAACGAGGATAAAGTAACCAAGATAAAAAGCTTGGAGATTATACTTATGTTGTTTTTCCTCTTTATTCCAGCATCTGGTTTCACAGCAACACCTTTTGATACAGGATGAATCAGTGAACTTGCTGAGTCTGTACACGTCCCCTTCTCTGCCCAACATTACCTTGGGACTTCCAGCAGTACAACCTCAAATCAGTGTAAGTGACTGGTCTCAGGCCTTCCTGTCTACCTTTGCTTCCGTAAAACCTACTTTCTGACTGTTTTCTTTTCTTAGCATTTCAGAATGTAAGCAAATCAGAATAGAAACCAGACCTTTCTTTGCATTGGGCAACATCTGAACATTTAATGGCATAACTTGAAAGCATTAATCATTCTTAATTGCAAATAAACAAGTACCAGTGTGGAGCTTAACTAAGTATAGACCACATGCATTGCATTTATGTCTGGATATCAGAGAATAGATTTCAGACATGGTGAGAAGTATATGAGGAGTTCACTTAGTATAAAAATTCAAATTATATGATCACTCCTACCTGCTAAAGTAAACTTTTAAAGAGATTTCAGTAGCAACCTAAGCTGGGCTGGAGCATGATAGGAGAAGAATCTAGTATTCCTGTGACCAGTTTTGTTATTTGAGGGTTTGTTATTTGTTATATCAATCAGACAAATAAAACAGGTCATATGTGATCAACACTTAATATTTTAATGACAAGTTATATTCATATGCTCTTTGTTCAGTCTGGAGCAATCACATTTATTTAGAGAAAAATGTTAAATTAATATGTGAAATGTATGAAAAAACACAGACATGGTATGTATAGAAATCCATGCTGATGGATAAGGATCTTTAGATCTAGACCAAATTACAGTAACCTAGAGGTGAAATCTGTAGCTCAGTAAATTATCTCAAAATGTTGCTAATGGTCAAAACTTACCTTTTCTGATTTCCAGCAAAAAATGTAAAAATACTGCTATAAGTTATACGATGGTTCTAAACAACAGTGTATGAATTTTGAAGACATTTTAGCAATTTAATTTTCTTGGAACATGAATTGGTAAATTCTATAAAAATACTAGGGGTTTAAGTAGAGCTTTCCATGGTGTAAAAAAAACCCCAACAAATCTATACAATCCACTATGGTTTGTAATAAGTGCTACTTAATTCCAGTGCTAAGTGTAGTTTCAAGTTATAGTTTCACATTATTTTAAGGTTTTTCCAGTACGTTTACTGTTCTCACCAATAATATATTGCTGTAATCCAACATTTTACCATCAGATGTAGAACTTTGCAAAGAAAATTGTGTAAGCTTTAAATCAGTTCTCTAAAAGCCTTTCAGGAGATATTTAAAAGCAAATTATTGTTTTTAAGGGATGGAAAAATTGAGCTGATTCTGAAAAGTAGTGCTTACTTTTCCAGACAATATAATCAAAAAATTCTTAGCTATTTCACAAAAAATGTAACTAGCTTCAAAGTAATTTAATAACATTAAAATGGAAATGAAAATATGTTTAATTTTCTCACTCAGATTGTATGAGTTTTTGATGTGGCCAGCTAGCACCACATATTACTTTTGGCATTAGAAAAAACAAAGAGGTTGAATTATGCAAATAATGTTTATTTCTGTTACCAGAATAAGCAGTTGCAAATTGAATGTAAAGTTTTCTTTAGTGTTTGTTTTTCAGGGAAGGGTGATAGCACAGTGTGAAGTAAGCATATACCTAAAAAATAGTAGTGAAAACCTTGCTTTACCTCATTAGAATTTATGGAATTTAGATTATCAGAGATACTGTTTTTACCATGACATACCATAAGCGGTTGTCTGCAAACCTCAACATGCTTATTTCTGCTAGGCTATTATTCTTGCTGTAAAAATGATTCTTCTTCTTTAGCTGCTCTTGAACAAATATTTTTTTAAACTAGACAAAGAACAAAGAAATACAAAGTACATTTGCAATGCTGAAGGGCCAAGACTTCCAAAAGCTTTAAATCAACAACTGAGCAATTTATAAGGGCACTTTAAAATCCCACACACATACAGCAGCTCTTGATGATTCTGTAGGTAAGAATTTAACTATACGAATTTACTTTACAAAAGGTAAAACTCACATTTGTGCTGTTCTTCAGGGAGTCAGGGAGTGCTCCAGGAAAAGTAATAGCTTCCCACTTCTACAGGTAATTATTTTGTTTTGCTGATTGGCTTGCTGTCTGACGGAAAGTTTTGTGAAAAACCAAGCCTTGCCAATTCCAAACTTCCTGGAAAATATTTCCTCTGATCCCCTATTTTCCTGTGCAGGAGGCTGTGGGAAGGTCTTTACGAATTTTAAGGACAGGTCCTGTCTTTTCATTAATAATGTTCTAACTAGTAGTTCCTTATGCTTTGGCTTTTATTGCTGACTTTTTTCAAGTGGTTTCATTACGCAGTTTCTCACAGGGTTACATTTAACTGGCATGTTCTTCCTCCCTTTTCATCTCACAGTCAAAGTGTAAGATTGGGATGTTAACCTTTTCTTCTGTGTGTATTGCTAGAGTATGACATAAACCCATCTAATCAAGCGGAGCTATAAATGGCCAGGTTTATGAAAAGCAGTTACCAGTGCCGTTGTTCTTTGACAGGCTTCATCGTCATTCAAAGAAAAGCAGAAGGGAGAGACCCAGTCACTCAGACAAGGAATGGCCTTGGCTGGACAGTATGGGGGGAACATACCTGCGTCCTCAACTCACCCTCATGTTGCTTTGGAGGGAAAGCCAAATAGCAGCCACCAAGCTCTCTTGCAACATCTGTTACTGAAGGAACAAATGAGACAGCAAAAACTTCTTGTGACTGGTAATGATCAAGGCTTCAACACAATAATAATTTAATGTTTTTAATTACTTTTGTATTCAAATTAAACTAAATATGGTAATATAGATACTATACATCCTAACGGCTGGGAAAAGTGGAAGGGTGAGAGAAATATGACAGCATCTTTGTTTTCCCCCTGTAGTGTTTCTGCTCCAGTCTGTTAGCCTGAAAGAATTCCGTGATTACCGAAAAGAGAAAATGATTACTTCATCACATTCTTTTGCAGCTGCTGAACTTCCCAGCGTGGCAAGGCACGTGGTACACATCCCACTGTATCAGCGCTGTTGCAAATTTCTGCAATATACACCCCTTTTCTCACCGAAAGATTTCTCTCCTATTAGAGCTATAGGTTTGTTGTTCTTGACACAGGAGTGAAATGTCCGTGTTTTGCAGGAGCGGTTCCTCTTCATCCACAGTCTCCTTTAGCAGCGAAGGAGAGAGTCTCACCTGGCATACGAGCTGCCCACAAACTGCCCCGTCACAGGCCCCTGAATCGAACCCAGTCAGCTCCTCTTCCTCAGAGTACTTTGGCCCAGCTGGTCATCCAGCAGCAACATCAACAATTTTTGGAGAAGCAGAAACAGTACCAGCAGCAGATCCACATGAATAAGGTGAGTTCCGAAAAGCAAGGAATTTCCGATAAATGTAAAGGTTGAAAACTAATACGAAAGTTTAGGTATTGGGGTCATGTGGTCATGGACAGCAAACAGGTTCTTCCATAAGTATCTTGTTTATGCATAGTTAGTGTATACATTTGCATAGATATTCATTTTCAGCTTCTGAAATACACTACAAAGGTAATTTGTGGTTCTTGACATCAGTAAGAATATAGTTCAACAAAATAGGGTTCAGAGCATGTTACAGGTTTAAATTGCAGGTGGCTTCCTGTTGGATGGTAAATGATGCCTTAAAGATTACTAGGTTTCTATCCAACTTTTTAATGTGCATTTCTGAACATCGGCAGTCATTCCATTCAGTTGCCTTTGAACCATATTTTAGGCTTTCTCATCGTGAACTAGTATGTGTTGTAAACTCATGTGAACTCAATCAGCTGATTAAATTTATCTTTTTTTGCGTCAGAAACATTAAACATCTGGAGCAATTTTTAATCAGCTTTTATAAAACCAACTTCTCTGCAAGTCGATTAGTAACATAAAAGTTTGTTACATATATGGTGATATAAAATTACCACATGAGGAGAAAGAGAAGAATGTGCTGTTGCTAACATCAGATATAGAGTTGCATTGTGCCCCTCTTTCTCTGTAGAGATATTCTGAGGTAGGGGGGGATGATGACAGAAAAAGGATCATTCGTAGAAAAACAAAGAGCAGCAGAATCTAAATACATTTATCAGGAGCTAATGCTTCTACATCAAATGTGCTGTTGCCTGCTGTAAAATAAAGATATGCAAGTAATTAAATGCTTTTATCTGGAGGACGTTTTTCTGCTCTTACTGCATAGCTTTCCAAAAGTTGTTTGCTGGAGCTTCTCTAGTAATTCAAAGATACTAATCATGCATCTTTAGTTGTCTTCTTTTGTTTGAGGTTTACTTGATAACTACATATAAGGGGCAATTGCTAAGAAGAAAAGATAAAAAGTGGGCATTCAGCCCTTGTACCTAAGAGAAAAGGAAAAAAAAAATCAATCCACCTTACTGGGTGAACTTTCCAGGGGGTACTGATTCTTTGGAATCTCCTAAGAATTCCCAACAAAATTAGAAACAAACCTAGAGTTTAAGTACATAGTTTGTACAGTGGTTTGGTTATTAAATCTTGTCTTAATTAGGAAAAATGAAGACCAGAAAACTTCAAAGTTCAGAGCTGATCCTTGCATGTTAACCCCTCTCAGCTTGGGTGTTTTGATTACTCAACTAGGACTCCAGTTGGCTTTTCTTTGAGTATGCATTCCATATGTTTAATCAAGATGGCATATGTATATCCCATAGCCTCAGGTTTTGAAAATACTTCACCTACCCTCAGTTGCTGAAGAGAAAAGAATTTTTACCGGTAAAGTACTGAGTCTTTGCGCTGTTTGTGGGTATTCACTACAAACCAGTCAGTTCATGCATTCCTCACAAGGCAAAGAACCCCACTGACATGTTTTTGTTAGGTCATACACTAATTGACATAAATTCTCCCACAGCATCTGGGGATATGTGCTGTGGCACATAGGTACATTTGTCCTGAATCTGAAAATTAAACTTGAGTTACATAAACATATTTGTAGTCACATAGGGCTAGGAATGCACTGCACCTCAAAAGAGCCAGGCTGGATAAGGAAGTAAAAAGGCAGCAGTTGGTTTGAGATAATGCTTATTTCAGTAATTTATTTTTTTCTGAGTTAAACTGCAATGAAAATATATGTTAAGAAGAATAATTCCTTCTCATACTTGAGATACACTTTTATTCTCACATGGTTATTTGTGATAAAGAGACAAAACAATTCCTCATTTTAAAGCCTAGTGAACCTAGCTTTAATTCTCTACAGTATAGGCTATACACATCTACAGATAGTAGAAATTTAAGTTTATCCTAGGGCCTTTCACTGCCTTGAACCTCTATAACCTACTTGCTTTGCCCCAGTAGCTTCTCAGTCTCCTTTATCCTTACTACCAGAGCAGCTAGCCAGCATCAGAAGTTAGCAGGGTAGTTACGGAGCGAAACCCAGTATCTTCTTATTTCTTAGGACAAGTCTGAACAAGTGAATACAAGCACTTCTTATTTTCCATTGTTCTATCCTTTACTCTTCTGTTTATAGGCTGTATAATGAAATCTGCACAGAGGTATGATACCCTCCTTTTCAGTCATGAAAAACATAGGAGTATTTTAATAAGGAGTACTCAAAACATTATCTGAAAAGTTTTGGTGAGAAAGCCCAGAACCATTTTAAGCTGACAAGTCTATGAAATGCCAGTTGATCAAGAGCTTAGAATAAATTCCTGTCTTCTTTTTCTTCTGCATTTCTCTTTTCTTTTTTCCTTATGTTTAAGACTTAAAGTACTTAAGGCTTTCATGTATTTCAGCTGAACCCAGTATTTGAATATTTGCCCTGAACTAAGATGATATGGCATGTGTCAGCACTCCCTGAAAAATATTTTTGGTCAGATCTTTTTGGTGGACATGTAGCTGAATCTTGCTGTTGCAACGAAAAGAGGAAGAGAGCAAGTTTCTCCTCACCCCATTGATCTTGTATTTATCTTGTATTAAAAAAGTCATTTCTTTTCTTTGAGAAAAGAATATACTTCAGCAGCAAGCCAGTGCTGCTGGGAGGGTGATAACAAGCGAAATCTAACATAGGTCAGAGGTAAAGAATTCCCCTGGTTCATTTCCATTCTGAAAGGAAACACGTCGTTGCAAAGAGGTGTGACTCTGTCCTTAATAACAAAGAGAAGATCCCCTATGGATTATTTCTGGTCAGGTCAGATGCTAGGCTTTTGATGTGGGAAACGGTATACGTCTCCACTGAAGTCTGACATTTATACCTGTGGGATCTAGTACGCTGACCGTCTGAAAACATTCTGCAAATGTTGACATCCCATCCAAAAGTAGGTAGAAACCCACGTCCCAGCTTTCTGGGGAAAAATAATAACGCATGTGCAGTAACCTGAACTCCGCTTGTCTTAGGGAAGATCGGCTTTGCTGTTGTCAGCTTCAATATACTTCTATCGAAATGACAGCTGATTTCCTCATAAGACCCTTTGATCACCATTGCAAAACTTCATTCTGCTCAATAAAGTCTGGAACCCCTAGTTAAAATTACTGCAATTGGGTAGCAAAGGACCACTGCTACAATGAAAATATTAACATCTTGATATTATTTGTGTATCTGTGTATCTAGAAAGCTTTGACCCTGACACTTGCAGATGAAAGGGTCATTTTGGCATAACTAATGCAACTGCAAAGGCCCTAGCAGAAGTTTACATTCAGTAAAATCTCAGAAATCATAATGTAAAGAGTCTTTAGGGGTTATTTTTGTCATGTATGATGAATAAGGTCCTACCTCTCCTGAAGATAAACTAGCACTTTCTTCACTGGGACCTAGATTTTATTTGATCACTGGGGAGACTGTACATCTGTTCTTAAAATAATTTTATTAATAGCATTTTGACAGTTTGTTTTCAATGGTAAAATCCTCCCCTGTACTGAAGTAGCAAACATTAAAATAATGAGGCACTTCATAGTGTGGACTGAAACATGAGAGTTTCAGTTTTCATTCCTTGATGTTAACTAGCTTAAAGCATCTTTGTATAGGGAACTGGGAAAGACTGTGAGATAGAAAATACAGGACAAAAATATATAGGAAATTAAAATGTATTAGTGCTTTTGACAGTGATCATAATTGATGAATATCTATTAGTAAAAAATAGAAAATAATATGGATGTTTCTGTTGATGTACTGGTGGAAAAAAATAGGAAGATTATTTATTTCAATGGGAATATTGAAAAGATACAGCTAACCTCAGATTAATCATTCACTTCTCTGAATGATATTTAATGAAATAGGGAGGACTGTTTGGATCAGGTTCAGCTGGAGTAAATTATTCTAGTTTCATTAAACATATTACAACTGAGGTTTTGGCTTTCCAGCTTACACATCTGACTAGCATCTTCTGAAGGTGAGAGGCAGCACACTTCTTTTAAATATTGCGTATAGTTAGGGGATAATTTGGACAAAACTATAGCGACAGTTGAATGCATTTGGAACTACAAAATACCCAGAGCATTTTCTTCTTTATTGAGAACTAATGTTTAAGCCACAATGCAGAAGAATTACACTGAAAGATAAATACATCCTGTAGAAACGTTGCACTACGTGAGTAATAGAGAGAACAGTAAGCAGGTGCCAAGTCTTTTCAGTACAGCTAACAACATACATCGCTGGTCACAGTGATTCAATAGCCATAGGAGAGAAGGAGAAAAAGTATATTCCATAAGTATATAAATGAGTTCTTAAAAACAGCCACCATATATTTAAAATGAACAATTAAGGAAAGAAATGTATGTAGTGGCTATTGCAAGATTTTTTGCTTTGTCTCTTTGCAAAGACATTTTATTTAGAATATTGTATTTTACAAGACTTGATAATTTCAAAGGAGAAACAAAGGCAGGGCTGCAACTGAAGGACCTGCAAAATGGTCTGTTGCAATGTCCAGATTATATATACTTCCATTTTTCTGTACAAGCAAGCAGGTTAGATTGTGTTTGATGTCTTTTTTTGGTAGGACTCTTGCAGTTATACAACAGAGTTGATGTCTGTAAATGCCTCCTCTCCTGCTGCCACTATTTACTTTGGCTCATGCATATCCCATACAGTTTAATTTCCTGAAAATAAAAGGGAAAAAATATAGGTTATATTATCATGAAACCATCTTTTGAGTGACTCCTTTAGTTGGAGTAGCAATAACAGTAGTGCATCCTGGTTAAAGAAGACCAATCTATAGAACTCTAATTTATTGGTGAAATAAACCATGGTTTTATTTTTATTTTTTAATGTAGTCTTGTTAAAGCTCAAATTAAGCAACCATTTTTTCATTAAAATGAGGAGAAAGTCCTGCATGTACCTACAGATAAATTTAGAAAAGATGGTAAGCGGGGATTTAAAGTGGAAGATTTAAACATTAAGTGTAAGCAGAAGTATCCAGCTGCACAGTGAAAGGACTTGAGCAGTGTTTCATTGAGGACTCATTTTCTGCTATGTGATCCAGCTTTAGCCCAAGAGATGAGATAGAAATACTGACTCTAAACTGATATCTTTGCACGTTTCCAGACAGGTAATTTTCCACAGTAGTATCAGGAGGTATAATATAAAATAAGATGTTTCTGTCTTAGGAGAACTGAAGAGTCCCCATTGTATGAGAGGACATTCCTCATAGCCTCTTGCCTGAGGCTTTGTTAAGACACAGTGTAAAGAGTATTTTTAATAAGATTTTTGCAGTAAAGATTATAATATTGTATGCATTTTGTAAAAAATACTGTGGAAATACATAAAGACTTTAATTTTGCAGCATTTTAGAAAATTTAATTTGTTTAACTCCTCCTGTGCCGAAGTCTGAAGCAAATCGCCTGCTGGCTTCCACAGCGTGAGAGCAGGCCCCAGAGCAGGAACACTTCAAATTGAAATGCACACACACACCCCACTGTTGTTTCCACAGCCCCCTTATGTGTGTGTGTATCACCCAGCTGATTACATGCAAAAAGTGTTTGAAGGTGTTCCATGTATAAAGTATATACTGCAGGCCATCATGTGTTTCCTCAGAAAGCTTGGCGGCAGATCTCTGCCATACAGCAGCGTGAAGAAGAAAGAGCCTGACATAAAAGTGAAAAAGCATAAAAGATAGGAGAGCAGTAATGAGCTAAACCTGTCTTAACTTTGCTGGGGACATGCACTCATTTTTCTCTTGGCTTCCCCTCCAGAATAACCCACCTGATGTCAAGCAACTGGCACATGGAATAGTTTACAGATGGATCAGCATCAGTGACTCTTGGAGCTGTGTAGGATTGTCTGTCACACAGATGTTTCGGCTTGGATTTGCTCACCAGCAGCCAGCCCTGCCTTTCTTTTCTTGCGTGAGGAGCAGAGCTGGCTCACCCACAGATGTTTAACTAAGCGACAGAGAGGAGCGTACCCGAACTGAATACACGTAGTTATAGCTTCAGTGCCGCCTTGGTCAGCGTCATCCTCTGAGAAACAACTGGAAAAGATTTATGGGTTTGATCTGAGAAATTTTCCAGATGCTGCATAACAAAAGGAGGCACTCTGCATTAGTAGCAGTAGTAAGGAATCCCCAGCTTAGGGCATGCCACCTGCAGCGTGCAGGAAATGCATTTTGTGATTTGCCAGTCACTACAGTAATGAAAGGGAATTTTTTGTTTCTTTTTTAGTAAGCCATTAAACCCCCATTACTTCCCAAAAAGGAAGGTTTCCTGTGACCAAAGCCTGTAGCCTTCCACTGTGGTAGCTGTTTCTCTACTATGTGAGGTGCATGCATCAGAGCATGAATTGGAACTGCACAAACGTATCTTTCAGTTCATCTTGTTGACTTTGTGGGAGTTCCTGAATCCAGCTGTAGCTTCTTCATCATACTTTACATGGCAACCCTGCCCTTCACGAGGGTGGCATTTTTCTATCTGCATTAAGAAGCAGAATGAAACTAGGTGGTCCATGGTTTGTGACAAAAATACCTATAACTGAAGGCATCCAGTAACTCACCATATAGCACTAGCTAAAACTCAGTTTGAAAGACTTGATAGTTGGGGCGGGAGGCAGATGGAAAGAAGACAGTATACAAGAGTAATGATAAAAGATGATTGAGGGTTTTTTTCCCACTTCTCAGTATATTTGAACTTGGTAATGCAAATCAGTATTTGCTTGAAATCAGGTGGGCCAGTTGAATAATGATAATTACTCACTAGACCCTGCGGGTGCTTGCTCACGTGTCTGATTTTACCTCTTTCAACAAAGCAGGGATTTTTTCAGTTTTGGCTTTTTGGATTACATTGAACTATTTTGGAATACATTTGCCGCTTCTTAAATAGTAAAACATGAAGTGTACTTGGGCATCTGGCATCTCAGCAGAGCTTTACAATAGCAGTTAATGGTGTAAAACATATATTGTTTGAGTAGCTATCTTATGTCATTATTGCTGAAACTGGGATACCTGGACCGTGAACAACTAGTCTTTCCAGTCATGAACAGACATGCTTGTGGCATCTTTGTGCTGCAGGTGAGGGGACTGACACCAACTCTTTGTCACCGCTCCTTTGTTGGCCTTCAGTGCCTTCATGCTGTAATTGATAGAGAAGCTCATGTGACCATTCCCTAATTTGCTTATAACAAAATATTAACCGGATTACTAATTTTCTTATATCTTAGAGTTCCTTTATTATTTTGTGTTGTGGAAAGTGAGCTGTAATACAGTAAAATATATTTCTGCATTTACGTTTGAAGAGTATGAAGACTAATTTCTGTTAATTACCAGCTGTAACAGCATAACAGATGTGTGATGTTTTCATTAATCTGATTTATTTTTAGCTTAGTATTACTGTATAGCACTCTCTACGTACATGGTATTTTCTACTTCAGAACGACAAGTAACCTTTTTCTTAGGAACTTTGGTTCTTTTTTCCCTGTACATTAATATTTTAGCAATGCACAGCCATATGGTTTTGCTGCGGAAGCTTTAATTTTGTTGGTGCAAATCTAGTACTTCTCAGTGATTGGCATCAGTGAAAGGAGTCAATAGCTGTTCCCTGCTTCTCTTTCCAGATGCTCTCTAAGTCCATTGAGCAACTCAAGCAGCCTGGCAGTCACCTGGAGGAAGCTGAAGAAGAGCTTCACAGCGATCACTCAATGCAGGAAGAGCGAGGTCCCACCAGCGGTGCCAGCGTTAGGGCTGAGAGCGGCAGTGCTGGTGCGGATGACAGAATAGGACAGCAGGTGGGGGCTGTGAAAGTCAAAGAGGAGCCACCGGACAGTGATGAGGATGTTCAAACCCAGCAAATGGAATCTGGGGAGCAAGCTGCTTTTATGCAACAGGTAATAGGCAAAGATTTAGCTCCAGGATTTGTAATTAAGGTTATTATCTGAACATCACATGCGTTTTCTAGGCTTTGATAAGTAATTGTGTTTTGATTCACTGATCTAGCAAACTCTGATTTACTGTTCAAAGAATCTAACAAAGGCAGAAGTGTTGTATGCACACTTGAAAACATAGTGAAGCTCATCCTTATGGCCACTAATTGAGAAAATACCTGTTGCAGTCTGTTATTCTACATAAATCCTTGCGTAATAGCTGATAGACTTTGTATTAGCCCAGGATTACATTACATTGCTTAGTTCTAGTGAAAGAGAACTCGTATCACCTAGCTTGTTGAGATCAGCAACTGCTGGAGTTAGTTTCCAGACCTGATTGATGAAACATTCTTCTTCTCTGATTTTGAATCCTCTGACTTTTGCTTTCAGCTATCTGTATATACTGTATCATACTGTAGTCTTGAACACTGTTAACGTTAGGGTATTTTTTCCCCACTAGACAGGTACTGACTGCTATATCAGTGGTCCCAGGCTGGCGTATAAAGCATAACTTAAGAGAAGAATGCAAGGTGGATGTAAGACAAGGCACTGTTTAAAAATGGTGGTGTTTTCTTTTTTGCACTGCTTAATTTTTCATTCTGTCTTATTTGATGATACTGTCCACAGTGACATCCTTAAAAGAAGCAGATGCAAGTACTAGTGAGAAGCAAAATGCAGCATTAGGTTCCAATCAGTTACTAGGATATTGCAGGAAAAGCACAGAACTGTTATTGTTATTAGCTGATATCCAATCACTTGTTTATTTTTTAAAAAATAAAGACTAATCACACAATATCGCATAACCTTTACTGCTATGTCTCATGGTCAAATAGTAAAATAACAACTGTGCATTAAATGCCGACTCGGCAAAGGGAAACTTCAGATTACGGGCGAGCATTTCACCGGAGCTGAAGCGCACAGTGCATTTGTGCAGCCAGTGAGCGGGCGGCCCTTTCCGTCGCTGTAAGATCAGGCAGAGCAAGGCTGGATGCAGTGGAAGGCCCTGTTTATTTAAGTCGATACTTGGTCAGGTCCCTGCTGTTCTCCTGCAGAAAAGTGATTTTGGGAGGTGGGGGGGGGGCAGGAAATGCCTTATGGAAACAGGAAGCCCAAGTGATTCATGTGCTGAGGAATGCAGGGCGGGGGGGGACGACGGGGCAGCGCTCCCTCTGTTTTTAAAGGCACTCTATGAATTGATTTATTGTCAAAGAAAATAACAAAGCGAGTAGGGAAATTGTTAAGGAAGCTTTCCAGTGAAACATTTCCTTCATATTCCCTTTTGATATGTTTACCTTGTTTTATAGGTTTACTTTTGTTAAGCTAGTTAAAGATTCATTGTATTAAGATCCCTTTTAATATGGATAATCCCAGACTGACCTGGAATCCTTGTCAGGTTTTTTTTCTATTGAAAATATTTATATTTCTAAAGCTGAGGTATTTTAAGGTGCAGTATCCTGTTTCAAAAGAGATAGCCGTTTTGCCAAATGTAGAAATCGTTCAAAAAGTATATTATTAGCATATGTTGTTTACATTATGCTCTAATACTATTCAATCTCTTATAAAATGTTGCAACTTCTAAAGATACATTATCCTTTTTCCTAGAAGATCTCCAAACAAATGACTAAATAGTTGCTGTAAAATGAAAGGTCTCCTGAAACATAAAGATCATCTTAGATAGGACAGATTATTAATTGAGAAAATACAGGTGATTTTTATGTGTGCTTCATATTTGAACAGAAATCTTCCACCACTTTGGATTTAAAAAAAAACCTCATGTTCAAAAAGTAAAGCATATAAGAACAAAATTACATATTTTTTCCCATTCTGTATAATTTTAATTTTCGTTGAAACCTAAATTTAGCCTCATCAAAAAGGGATAGTGCATCTTTTAAAATACATTTTATTTGGGGAGAATCTTGCAAATGAGAAGACTTTTGTACAAAACCACTTCAAAGAAAGACATGTATTCACAAAGGAAAAAAGATATTTTTATAGTGTCATTCAGGTGAGAAACCCCAATACATTAGTGGACTTTAATTTCAGAATCTTTCAAATTTGGATAAAATTAAAATAGAGAAACTACCTGGAACCAGTGAAAAGGAAAACTGGGTTTAAACAACCACATTTCTAATTGATAACTGTCTCTTACATTTTAAATCTACTGTATTTATTATAATTTACACCCTTAGAGGTGATCTCTTGTTTTGTGTTGTAAATATATTCTGTTTGTATGTTCCCTTTTTTGCCTTCTGATATAAGTCTCTTCCTTTCTCAAATAAAGTTTTTTTTTAAAAGATCCCCTTTCAGATATCTGACTTTGTGTAAAGTTGATAACTTAGTTGTGCTTTTGCTTTGTATAACCAAATACATTTGCTGCACATTGTTGAAACAATTCAAGCTTTCATGAGCAAGGTTTTTATAACACAATTCTTAAAATGATTACACAAAGTCTTTTTTTGGTCTCTTGTTTTATCCTGCATCAGCCATTATAAGTTCTAGTGAATGTGGAAATAGCATTGATGCATGCTCATTTTCCCATCGTGGCATCTGTCTTGAACATGTGATCATTTCTTGTGCCATACATGAAAGGTAAAGGTGAACCCCAGTTTCTTGGATCCCAATTATCCAAAATTCAGATGAACTGAAATAATTTCCATGACATTTCTAAAATCTGCCTGGAGCACAAAAGGTGTTGATCTAAAACTCAGCTTATATTGACCACTTTGATATGCCTCAAGACCTTTGCAAAACTAGAGTCCAAAAATATGTTGGGGAGGAGGGAATCCACAAACTTTGCAGACTTTAAAGCAACTGTGTGAGACAGTGGAGTCCTACTTTAGAAACACCTCAGCACTTCCTTGAAGATGTTAAATGCTTTACTGGTTGCTGATATTTCCTAAAGTTTACTTCAGATCTACAGAGAGAAATAGTTTGTACTGCAAACCTGTCTCTGTTGCCAAAGTGCATGAATTATTACTACCCAAAGAGTTTATATAATTGTTGTGTTCTAGCTCTTCTAACTGTTTATTTAAATTGCAAAAGGTCTTAACAGCTTTGATTCTGGTATAATTTTAACTAAAATAAAATGCTTTCAGTAACGTAAGTATATGAGAATAAATATTTCTATAAATCAGATTTAATTCTTTTCAGTGATATAACAGCAAAGTAATGTTTCATCAGTCATACACAAAACAACATTAGATAAAAAGTCAAGTTTTAGGTTAGGAAACTTAACTAGCATAACAGGATCACATTATACAACTTGCCCTGTTGATTATTATGTATTTTTAATTTTGTGCCTGTAAGTAAATCATGCTTTCAACAGGGATTTTATTGAGATGCCTTTTGTTTAAATACCCACATTGGAATTAGAAGAGCAGCCATAAATGTTTTCAATTTACAACATTCCTGTTTTGGAACCTACACCTAGATTTTTTTTCTAAATTATCCGTTTACCATCCATCATATCACTCATAATGAAGAAAACAACTATAATTTAATACAATTCACAATTCCTTTTCCAGAAATGATGTGCATTTTTTTTAACAATATATGCTTATTCTGTCCTGTTGTCCAAAAAATAAAGCCAATATAGCTGCCTATTTAGAAGTAATTACTACTAAAAAAGAAGGGGAAAACACTTCACAATATTTATATACTCAAGACAGAGACACATTACTGGAATGTAGATATGGTAATATTAGCCTTTTTTTCATCTTCTGGCATTAACAAAACAGAATTAAAAGCTGAATGCCTCAGCAAAGCAGGAGCACTCCAGACATGACCACCACTCATCGTTTCTATTCAGCAAGCCGTTCATGCACCATCTTCATTCCATCTTCTTCGTCATTATCAGGAGCACTGACTTACTCCATGTTACTTAAGCTAACTATACCCTGTTTTTATCTTCACTGGCATTCTGAGGTAAAAAAAATAAATCTATAAACATTAGTCTCAAGCACCAATCTAGAAATGTTTACTTATTTCTCCTCCTTATGAACACTTCACAATTTGCAGCCAAAATTAGCTAAGCCAAGTTAATTTCCTTATTGTATTCTGTCCCACAAGCAGCATGTCCTACTTATCCACTTAAGAAATGTTTGTTTGCTTTTCATTTATTTGTTTAGTTTCTGATTTCCTTACGCAGTTCCCATCATCTGGGTGGTAGCGGGGCTTCTGTACCTCGTTTCTCAGTACAGAAATACAAGTTTAGACCATCGTATACTGAATTACTGTTCAGGCAAGCAGTGAAAGAGCATCCTGCATAAAATTTTCTTCTCTTTTGCTCTAGCACAATCCCAGTGAATTTGTGAAATTTTACCATGCTATTTGGTAAACACCGTGCTTTGCATGTGCTAGACTTTGTGCTTTGGTTTTGTTGTTTGGTTTTTTTTGTGGTGGTTTTTTTTTTTTTTTTTTTTTTCTCTTATAACAGCCTAATTTGGAGTTAGCTTTAAAGGTAAAAATTACAATCAGCTCAAACTGCATAGCCAGTGGAAAGGTTGGGTTTCCTCAGCTGTGCTCACTCACTCATGCCCCAAAACAGGGCTGGGAAGGGGGAATCCTTTAGGTGTGTCCTGGTTTCTGAGGTTTCCCATTTGCTGAGCTCAACTGTCCGCTCCTTTTGCTTATTGTGCATTTAGCCCCATAACTCATCTGTCCCATACAGGATAACTTCCCTGGCTATCTGTGGGCATGCACAGCTCTTGGAGACCCCCAGGGGTTACTTCAGCAGCAGCTGAGTGTTAAAAGGCTCTGAGATTAGCACCTTGAAATCATTCTTCAGCAGTGTCTTAACACGGGGGCTGTAGTCACTAGAGTTGTTTTGATACTTGTGATTCAGTGCTTTAGTTAGCTGATTAAATGAGATGTTTTGAACCTGGCTGTGGAGCCTTTGTGGCACTTGTTTTTACTTCGCATTTTCATAGTTGCCTTGAAGTGATTGTATCAACTCTTAACAGTACATAGCCCTGAAATATAAGGGAAGTTGGTTGGTATGCTGTTACAAGTACCCTCCACACTTGGTCATTCCAAGGTGGTAGCACATTACAACATTTTTGGCCTTGAGAAGTGCTTTGAAGGGCAGGAGAAATGGAAATGTAAGTTTTGAATGTTGATGGCCAGCTTTCTGTCATCTTTACTCTTAAGGTCATGTCCTTTTCTATCACGTTTTTAACTGTGGTCTTTAAAAATGTAGGGTTTTATCAAATGCTACAGGAACAATAAATTTTTTTTAGTGCCACTTTTTTGTGACAGTGCAGCCTAATTAGATTATTTACAGGTATCTTTTCTTTCCCAGTTGGATTTGAAAATGATCTATTATTTTTTCAGAAAGTATCATATCTGCTTTCTTATTAATCACCAAAGAGATTATTTCTGTTTGTCTCTCCTATTGTAAACTTTCGGTTACAGAAAGTAATAAGACTTATTTTATGTCAAATATTAAATCAAGAACTGAATTATCTGAATTATCTGATAAACCATATGGTATTACAAATTGGAAAACATACCTCATTTCACTGATACCTGTACAGAATCATGTTGAGCGTTCTTTTTTTGATCAAAAATTTTTTATGCTGCTTTTCCTCCTTTAGATATTTATGATACAGCACCTCCCTTTTGTTGGACAAAGTAGCATGTAAGGAAGTCTGCTGGGGCAACACCAGGCAAAATTACTTAATCAGGGGTACCTAACGAGCATGGCTCTAAAGTCTGTAAATCCAGATCTCAGTAATTATCACTTCACATTTTGACAGTCTGATGATATTACTTTCATACCATTGGGCAATTTATCATTTCCTGTATCAGACAGCACAGGACTTTATTATTATTGTCATTGAAGAGGATTATGTGTTCTTGGAAAGCTGCTGCTTTAAACGCTCCATTTTTGGAAGGATTCTGTCTTGACCTCTGAATGTCTCTCTCTGTCAGCCACACATCCGTGCACACACACAAGTTTTCATTTTCTTCCTTCCCTTAAAATGTGAGAGTGAATAAATGCATGCTTCAGTATACTGCTGGCTAAATCTTCATAAAGCTCTGTTGTTTAATGTCCTGCAGGAGCAGCTAAGCCTGAATGCCTTTGGGATGTAGGTGCTCTAATGCAGAAAGCAGCGCATAATCTGTCTTCTCTCATGTTCTGGCCTGTGACCTTTGGATCCCCAGGAGACCAAGGGGTCTGTTCGTACTGCCTGTATTTCCTCAGCAGAGGGTCTTGTGAAAATTACAGCTATGGGACTGCAGCAACGCAGTGATGGCAAGAGCTTAAGAAGGCTTTGCTCAGGTTCTCTCTAAAGCAGCTAGTGAAGCATGGAGGATTTGGTCTCCAACCCTTTCTTTAGTCTTTTCCTTTTGCTCCTGTCAAGAAGGGCACCATGGTAGGTTTTAGGTGGCAGCTTCCAGAATTTTAAAGCAGATCTCTATTACCGAAGAGTCCCAGAAGGAGCATGGGGCAGAAATTGGGAAATGCTCTCCCCCCCATGCTCAGAGGGATAGCTACTGAGACTAGCTGCTTCTAAGGCTTGCTCTTCTTACAAGCTGAAGAGCTACTATACATTACAGAGCATAGCTACATCACTCAGCTGCCTGGATGCACACAGGGACAGGTGGTGATCAAGTTTCCCTTATTTCTCACCCATTTTGATCCATTTTGACACTCCACCTTAGGGCATCAAAGGCTCCCAACCCCAACACCACCAAATCTTGACATCTTCCTTTTTTATAGACTTTCTAGTTCTCACCATTTATACATGTCTTTTGTATACATACATACATACATTTGTACATGTCTTTTGACGTAGTTTCACATTAGTTTCTGCTTAGAGTTTAGATTTCTGAAGTTAACTGGCTTTATACAGAGAGTTAGTGTCCCTGTTAGTGTTCCTGACAGAAAAATAAAAATGGTAGCACTGAATACAGGTACCATCACCACATGCTCAGCCCAGGGACACCTCGCTTGAGTAGCTCTGGTTTGACCATTTCTACAGGCTTCACTATGGATGCTAATGATTTCAGTTAAAATATTTGCAGCATGACACTTTGTGCTGAGTTTTTTCATGAGAATCTCCGTCTCTTCTCAAGCAGGCTCTAACAATACAAACACAGGCAGCACTGGACCAGCAAGAAAAGAAGAGACAGAAGCAAGATTCATTCCTGCAGCAAGAGACTGAGAATTAGCATAGGGGCTGTCATTTACCCATGCTGATGGATAATGCGCTAACCAAGCAAGCTGCTCATTTTCCCATGTCCTCCCTGAGCAGCTGAATGTCAATCGACTGCTTTCAAAGTTAGGTAT